GTAGAACTCCATCCCTTTAATTTCAACTTACTGTTGATATGGTAATGTGGTTATAGTTATTAAGTTAATTATTAATTAGAGTTCCAGATTAATGGTAATAATTTGAAACTGATACAATATTGGCTATTTTGCCTATTAGTTTTTATGACCAAGGTGCAAGCGCACCTGGCTTTTAAAGGGAAGGGGAGAGAGTACTTTGGTTTATTGCATGTTACAACCAAAAAACTCCCATGATTAATTAAGAGACAAAGTCCAACCCTTTTGAACCAGGCACTTGGAGCTGTGACCAATTTCTTTGCTGTTAAAATAGCAAAGGTGATACAGATATACCCCTAATGCACTTTGGACTGTTAAAGTAGAGCCTCAGGTTTTTGTTGGTCAATTACTTTCCACTGCCTCAACATAGCAATGTGCCAACAAGGCACCTGATAATGTGTCTGACTGGTGTGATAATGCACTAACCCGGCTTAATGACTACACATGGGATTTAAAGAGGCATTGTAGGACAGGTGATCTCTGCTACTGCCAGGCAGTGAAAGAAGCCAGTTATTTATATTTATATTTCTCAAATTTAATAACGAGTAGCAGCCACAACCCCAAGCAATAAACTCAGTGATCAACACTCCTCCTAACCAGCGTTTAGAACATTAGTGGGCAATATTTTTTTCCAGTGGGCCATACTGACTCTGTTAAAGTAAGTGAAGGGCCACACAATTGGAAATAAAATTTAAACATGAAATATTTAGTGCAGAATTACTTTAAACTACCGGTACATAGATTTGGTGGGCTTGATTGTGTTATTCACTAGCCCTTTTTAAACAAATACATGATCATACTCATGAATTTTACAATTAACAACTCAATTAACTACTATGATTCAGTGAGACTGCTCATCAATCACTGCTATGTTTGGCTAGCTTAAGAGCCGGCATGTAGCTTACTTTTGTGACTGTCTCTTGTATGGCCGTCTGCTTCACAAAAATATTCTGACGGGCGGTTAAATCGGAGGACAATTTCAGGGCCCTTTGTTCTTTCTCCCGCGACGATAGGTTGGTGGCATAGTTGGCATGCTTGGTCGAAAAATGTCTCTTAATATTATATTCTTTGAAAACAGAAATTGCATTTTGGCATATCAGGCATACAGCCTTTGAACCCACATGAGTAACAAAATATTTATAAGTCCACTCGGTGTTAAAAAAACACAACATTCCGAATCAACTTTTCTCTTTTTCACAGCACTCATCCTGATGATCATCGAACTGTCTCTGCAAGAGTCAAGAAAGCGCATTTTCACCCACTCCAAATTAAAATAGCGCCCTCTGTTGCAATCAGATCATATAGCAGTTGAAACTCATATGCCTCTATAATGCGGGATTTTTTTTTTTTCTTCTTCTTTTCTCCTCTGTGGATGTCACACATGGGCATTTTACGGCCCGTAAAATGCAGGCTCCATATCACACCTGTGACTGAAAAGCTCCACAGCTACACTGAATCTTGTGCCATTTTATCGCAGTTTAACCAAATTTTATTCCTTGAGGAGTTATTCGCCAACTTCAGTTCATCTACTTGTCTATTAGACACACAAGAAGTATTTAAGACTGTTGCCTTTTATCAGTTGCTCAGTGGCCACTGGTTTTGTTTCATCTGCCTTTAAACACGCAATACTTCAACATTTCCTGAAGAAACCCACACTTGACCCTTTTGTTTTCAACAATTTTAGCCCAATCTCAAAGTTATCTACAATTTTATCTACAATTTTAGAAAAGTGTGTTGATTTCACGCATGAATTTTTGAGTCCAGCACAGCACAGTTGTAATGGGTCTCCTCGCCCCCAGCCTCATGTGGTGTGTCCGCAAGGGTCGATTCTTGGTCCGTTGCTATTCATGTCCTATATCCCTCCCTCCCCACTTTTAACATAGATGATACCCAACATTACGTTCCGCTGACTGGTAGTGATAAAATTTCCAAAGTTATGGCTTCTCTCTCTGACATCAAATGCTAGAACTCTTCCAGCTCAATGAGTCCAAATCTGAGGCTTTAGGTGTTGTATTTGACTCTAAGCTTAGCATATCATGCCTACACTTGCAACACTGCAATGGCTACCTGTTAACTAATTTTTAAAATGTTACTTAATACTTTTAAAGCCCTACATGCACTTTCTCCTACAACTTGTTACAAAGGAAACTATGTGTTTTGTTAGAGCTAACCGGAGGAATTTATCCCCAAACATGCTTCTTCAGAAAGGCTTCTCTACATCTGTTGCTTATCTATTTTTACATGTTTTTATAATACACTCTGTTTGATCAGGTCCTATGTTCTATGTTTTTATTTATGTCTCTGTTGTTTACACCCAGCTCCTGTTTTGTGTCCATGACTAAACACTAAATAATTTCTGCTGATTGTATTTAGGCTTCAAACAATGTGAACATCCTATTGGCTGTTTGTGGAGGGAACCAAAATGAAGCTAACAAATATCATACTGACCTAAAAGAAACAAAAGTAGAAGGACATACAGAAGACAAGGGATGGGATTTAAATGACAGGATGAGCAGCCAGTTCACAGAAAAACAGCAAGTCAATGTGGCTGTAATTATCACTTAGGTGGGGGTGAAAATCGCTGACCAGCACAGGTTATGTTAAAATCAGCCCACCTCAGGGTCTACAGTCATACTAGCAGTTTCAACAGTTCTTAGTGGTGCTTTAAGCTAAATGCTAACAGATCTTAGTTTAGAATGTTAGTGTGCTAGAATTTAGTAATTAGCACTCAACAGGAACTACACCTGAGGACGATGAGAAAGTCGGAATCCAGTCATTAACTGATGGTCTAATTAATATATTGACTGATTATGGTGCTCGAGGAAATGTTGAGGGATCAATAAGGATATAAGTGACCCTGAAGAGAACATGAATATTTCTACCAAATCGAATTGCAGTCTAGCCATAGTTGTTGAGATATTTCAGTAAAAACCAAAGATGGGAACCTACTGTTAGTGTAAGAGGTAAATCACCAAAGTCATTAGGATACATCCTCTTTATACATCCATGCAATATTTGTTGAGATATTTCAGTCTGAACCAAAATGTCTGTAAGGGTCCACTTTGGTCCATGACATAAACGAAAATGTCTATTGTTACGTTCCCTGTAAGAGTCCAGGGATTTAGGGAAGTAACAATGAATAAAACAAGATAACTGGGCAAAACAAAAACATCCACAGGAAACAGATGCAGAAGAAATAAGGGATTTTATTCACAATTAAAGACTACAACCAAAAACTGACAACACTGCAACACTGAGAAACAAAAAAATTAAATAAACCAAGAAAACCAAAATTAACAATAACTACAACGTAGTATGAGTATCACTATCAGATTTGATCAAACACATTAGCTCCAAGCAGCTATCATAGGGAGAACACATACACACAGCTTGTCAGCTGCTGAGTGGCCAGACCAACAAGAATCCACCATCTTCCAAATGTCCCATGCTGCAAAAGCCCAAAACTCTTCCATCAGGATAAACAAGCTGCAAATGAAAAAAAAAACCTGCTGCAGTAAGTTAAAACTATAACTAAAAAAATAAAGAAACAATGAAAAAAGTAAAAAACATAACACACAAACGTGTCAGAGCTCCAGGCCTCTAGGGGGAGCTGTAAGTGGAACACCTATAGACTGTATATAAGCTAATGCTAACACTTGCTACATTATCTTTTGCTCTTTTATAATATTATAAAAACTACGACCAAATGTAAAAAAGAACACAAACCTTTTTATGTCCCCTCTTCTTTCTTCCCTCATACTCTCTCATTTGGTACTAGGTCGTAGGTCTGGCCTCTTGTGTCAAAGCTCAAGCTTAAGCTCAAAGTGTTCCTTTTAGAGCTCCCCCTGGAGGTCTGGAGCTCTTCTGTTGTGTTGTGTGATATACAGCGTTTTTTCTGCTGCATTAGTTTTGGAGGTTCATGTGTATTTGTTGTTGTTTCTGTACTTGCAGCATGTTTGTTGTTCATGTTTCTTTTTCCTTCCCGCAGCATGTTGTTTCATTTGCAGCATGTTTCGCTTCTTGTTTTTGTTTTGTATTTTTAGATGTGTTTTTAAGTCTGATTTGTTTCTGAATTTTGCAGTTCGTTTCTTAGAATGGACGTGTCTCCTAAACGTCATAATTTCAATTAGCCAACTTTGGGTTTTGACGTGAACCTGATTTTCATTTGCAACAAAATGTAACATCTGTCTGACATTAGACTTGTTAGAGTCAAACATCTCTCTGATGTTGATGTCTGCTGTCTGCTGGTGAGCAGCGGTCTATTGAGCAGAGTAAGTGAAAACATCTGCATGGATGTGCACAGCCTTTAAAGCTGAAATCCTGATGCCATTGTTAGTCCTGCCAGTTCACCCCTCAGCACAAAAGCAACACCTTTTAAAAGGTTTTCCTGTTATTTCAACTGTTTTGTCCCTGATACATAACCATGCACACATACAGATACACAATCATATTATGGGACTTTATCCCGCTTGTTATCATCAAATCAAACCACAATAGCTCCAATATACACAGTAAATCCATCTGAATGAAAACCACAATAGAGCTCTTAAAGAGGACCAAGCATGTGAACCCTGCTCATGCTAGATGTCATATTTATTTGAGGTGTTGTGTCACACAGGCTTCAATATAGCAGTTTCAATACAAGGTGGAAAAGAGACAAAGGGAGATCAAACATTAAATATATAAATATTAAGTTTACTTAGGTTTTTAAAGACTAAAACCTTTACTTCCTTAGAAAAACCTGAGCCAATGTCAGATTTTAAAAGTATCACCATGCTAGGACACTCTGCTTTCGTGTTTTATTCATTCACTTATCTATTTTTAATATATTTATTTTATACTTGTCACTAGCTGCTTTGAAATATTTGAGGGCAACAGCTCAAGGTTCTTCAGATGTATTTTGACACTGACATGAACCTGGGTAACACTGAGGTACTGTGTTATATAAAGAGAGGCCTGAATAAGTGAAATTGATCAAACTGAGAACTCTGACATTTTGAGAGAAACCCAACCACTGGCCACAGGCTGTTCCTCCCACCCAGTCAATTTAGCTGTAATGCTCAATAGAAAAAGCACCTGAGTCATTGGACCTCATGATGGTCTCGTTATGTCTGAGTGACAGCTGGGAGCGGTAAAACCTGTTGCTTTGGGATTCCAGTGGACTGTCCGACACCTACAGTACATGAGAGAGAGAGGGACAGACAGAGAGATGTATTGCTCTTTAGTATGTTAACACAATACGGTATTGTCATCTGTCAAAACCTCCTAACCCTAACTAAACACATACATTAGATTTAAGTATGAGTTACTGTATGAATAGAAAGACTTAATTGCCAAAAGGGGGCATTACTAAGTACGGACTTAAAGGAGCGATTTCTAAGTTTTCTCTTTAGCTGAACATTGTTTCCTGCCAGAAGTGGGTGGTGGCGATTGTCTCTTGACAAGCGCTTCTGCCATTGTTGTCTTGATCATAGACTGTAAATAAAGATGATGAAGTGGTCATTACAGGAACTACATGTTTTAGCATTTCAGTTTTTGATGTAGGAAGCTTGTTTACAATATAAGAAGTTATAATACTCCCTCAGCGCAGCGATATGTTTTCGGAGCAGATCAGATGCTACAGTAAATCGTTACTGGAAAGTCAGGAGACAGGCTGGGGTTCACTGGTTAGCATGCTAACTTCAGTAGAAGAAAGGACGTGATAGAGACAAGAGGTAAAAATGGCATTGCTGTCCACCTCTGGAGACAGCTGTTGGCAAGTTTGAATGAAGTTTGATGCTGAACTCACAACATTTCTTCTAGACTATGTACTAAGTACACAGCTGCTTATGCTAACGTCGGTTATGTAGTGATAGCAAAACTAACAAATTACTGCTTTAATAGGGCGCCCAAACTTTTGCATAGGCCACAATCACTGTTTAATGATTTATTTATTTTTGTTTTTTAAGGTAATGCCCACTCTCTGCTCTATATTACCTTTTAGCCTCTTTTAGCTCATTGTTTTGGTTTTCTGGCTCTGGATGAGAGGACAACTGTTTGCTAACAAGTTTATCATATCAGCTTTAAAAGGTGATAATTTGTCAATGTTCTGTCCATAGCTTGGTCTGCAAAAAAAAATTAAAAAGTAAATTAATGCAGCTTTAAGTTTTGACAAACCACATATTGGTGATGATCAACACTTAGTTATCTTAAGAACCAGGTATTTTTTACGGTGGCTCTGAGACCTCAACACACTGCAACTAAAGAATCGCACTGCGAATACACACAATACAACCACATGCAGAAACATGCTGCAAGTAGTACAGATGACAAAGGAAGTGTCTCCAGGGGACACAAGAAAGTGATGAACTGGCTGGTATATACTGGTTTGTGACTTTTGAAGTTATGAAGACGGCATGTATTTGCAGCACGTTTGGGTTGTGTCTTTTGGGTATGTTTTCTTAAGCTGTGGTGCATTAAACTCTCCACTGTATATTTTACCTCTTCAAATTTCTTGGCCTTGTACTGCTCCGCTCCTTTCAGGAAGTTCAAAAGTATGATGTCACACAGCACCGTTCCCTGCATAAGAATAATCATTAATAATTATAAATAATTTTATACTGGTTGTGTCAGGTATACCAGTACAACTCACCACTCCCACTGATGTGAAGGCTGCCACCATGTTGATGAGTGTGGGGATCATGTTGAACTTGCCTGCCTACAAAGGAAGAACAGTAGATCATATCAGCAGCATATCAGTCTTCTGGGTATCATTAGCATTTCATTAATTTTGTAGTAGAAATGTTGGTGCGACTACCCTTATTAAGGATTTATAAATGGTTTATAATTGAGTTATTAATTCTTATTCCTATAAATGATAAATAAACAATTATAAACAAGTTATAACACAGTTTTCATACATTCATGCAAGCTCACCATTTGGCATGATCAAGTTAATGCTTACTACTCATTATTCTTACTAATGATTTAATACCATTTATAAGGGGTCTTATAGTAACTCATTAATAAATGATGATGTGTTTATAAATGTTTGTAAGTGATAAATAAATGATTGTAAAATGAGATGAAGAAACATGAAGATGGATGGAGGGATAATCACAGAGATGTGAACAGTGAGACAAAGAATGGATGAGCCGTTCACCAGGTAAAGGAAGGTTACCACCTGTGTTCTAGCTGGATGATAAAGTCCTGAAGAACGGAGCAACCAGCAGAAAGCATTTCCATGTTAATATCTGATCAACAGCTGTGATTAGAATGAGGACGGCTGCTGAGAGCATGTCAAGATAAACAACACTGCCGAGGCCTCAGAGGATGAATCTGGTCATGTGATATGATCATGTAGTTTGCCATAATTTGATCAGCCAAATGAAACTTTCTGACCATTAAGATGTTGACAGTGGTTAATTACTAGTAACTTAACAAACATGTGAAGAAGCAGCAGGTATAAATGCTGATGATGGAGAACAGTACAGATACATGTGGGCTCACTATTTGGCAAGCAATAGGCCATTGTTGCCCTTTTTATCTGATGTGTTATAACAGCTTATAAATGATTTATGTGTGTTGATGTATGTGTGTTATTTAAGTGTTAACAAGTGTAGTTTGTTCTATGTAGGTGCCTAGGCAAAGAGCGATGACCTAAACATGAACTCTGGATAGGAGCCACAGTCACGCCTCCCTGAAAACTGCGGTGTAGGCTTGGAGGAGGCTGTGTAGATAGATAGATAGATAGATAGATAGATAGATAGATAGATAGATAGATAGATACTTTATTTATCCCCTAGGGGAAATCCATGTGTCCATTAGCTCATTGTTGATAATAATAATAATAATAATAATAATAACAGTTGATAATAAATAAACAATAATAATTAGATTAGTCCACTTCCTTTGGCTGAGGTGTTGTATAGCCTTATGGCATTGGGAACAAAGGATCTCCTGAGTCAGCAAGTTTGTGACCCAATCAGCAGGATTATTTTTCTGTGTTAGTTTCAATATATGTACAAATTTATGTGTCACTCTTGACATAATTTGGTTAAAGTAAAGTGAAAGTTTTATTAAAACGTTTTATTTTTTGGAATTTTACTGAACCAATAGTTAATCTCAGTTTTAACCACACCAGGAGGAGGGAATCAACAGGCTATATAAAGAGAAGAGAGTGTCCCTCTAATCCAGTGTCTGTGTTCATGAACCTAGCCAACCAAGCTAATTAATATGAAGCATTCATAACCACTTCTTCTCTGACGTCTCCAGAGTTTACATTCTGATTCATGTAGTGGCCGATGTGGAGCAGGTTTTTTTAAAGCAGGCATCTCTGTCAGTAAACCCACCATACCTGCATGTCTTTGAACTGTGGGAGGAAATTCAATACGAAATTAGGAGAACATGGAAACTCCACACAGAAAGGCCCCAACATCTATGTTTATAATGTCTGATAAAAAGATTTAATTGATCATAGCTACTTTATCTGACCTGAAATTATTTCAAAGTTAACCCTTTTAGTGTCACAGGCCCAAAAAGCAAGACCATACTGTTACTGAGATCACATGTAGATGTATAAATTATTCTGCTTATGCAGCAAGACATTTGTGACACTTTAGATGCCTAAAAAGAAAGTATAAAGTAAATAATAATAAAGTATAAAGAGCAACATGTAGCTTCCATCTTGTCTTCAGTATAAAGTTAATCCTGTCTGAATGGACACATTTAAATCTTGTTATATTGATTGAAACTCACATTTCCATTGACCAGAACATCAAACCTAATAGCATAGGCTTTGACCAGAGTACGGTAGTCCGTCCCGTTTTCCATCTTATAGTATTTGGCAAACCTGTGAAGACAGACAGATCACACTATTTTTTATATAATAGAAAACTATTGGAATCTTCTGTATCAGTGTGCACCTGAGAGGTAAATCTCTGGTTTAATAGAGAAAAAATATCAGAACCAGAAGTGAGGAATTAGATGTCACACTTGAATCTACCATCAGATATGTTAATATTTCATGTGTAAAAGTGAGTTTTGTTCGAATGTTGTTGGTAGAGGAAAGGTCATGCGTTTACTTAGATAATTAGACATCATCCTGTGCGGAGCATGAATTTCTCCGATTCAGTCGAGCTCTCTGGATCAGCCACATCAGACTGCCAGCTGAGCTAAGTACCTGAAATTGTATCCCGGTGAGACAGCGTTCTTCTGCGACATGGCATCCAATCGGGTGAATGAGTAGGAGGGGTTGCACTGGTCATCTGACTTGTCCAGATCACACATCCAGCCAATCTTTATTCCAATCACTCCTCCCTTTCAACATGAGAGAGGTAAACGGATGAGTGACGCTACTATTTACAGATGTCCCCTACATGTTTCACATGCAGGCAATGGGTAGAGGCTAGCTACATCGCACATCAACAGGGCCCCCATTTAAAGGGTTATGGTTAGCGTTAACAGCAATCAACTGTATAGTGTCTTTATGGGAGGTTTAGAGTTGTCATTGCAACATGTGCTAGTATGATGGGCCATCAGGGGCCCCTTTTCTCCTTGAAGGCCCCAGACATTTGTCTGGTTTGCCTCTCCTGACAGAGCGCCCCTGCATGCAACTAATCTGCACTGGCTGTTATGTTTGGGATTACCAATTGGAATATGAATCTGTTTGAATGTGTTACTCTTCTTTATTCAGGAGTACAGTCTTATAATACTGCTGCTAATGTTCTTTTACATATGTCTTATTCAAATTGACCTCTACAGCTTTTGACCTATTTCACAATAGGTATTTCTGTATTTATAAATATTAATTAGTATATATGAAGTTATTTTACATAGTTGGAATTGGAAAAATATATATTTAGAAAAATCCTTCCAAAAAAATATAGATATTTACTTCTCACCTGTTTTCACAGATGAAAATAAAATCAGAAAAAATGATCCTGGAAAAAAAACAAAAAAAAAACAAAACAAACTAGAATCACCTCCTCGTGGTTGTCTGCCTCCTCCACTCACAGACTAATTTCAAGTTACATCCCTGTTTATCAAGAGTCATAGAAAATATGAACCATTTGTGTGAAATTTTGTCATAATTACTTTGTGAAGTCTTGAGTAATGGCTAAAAATTGTTTTCTGAGGTCACCGTGACCTTGACCTTTGACCTCTGGCTACCAAAGTCGAATCAGTTCATCCTTGACTCTAAATTAATGTTTATGTCAAATTTGAAGAAGTTCCGTCAAGGCGTTGCGGAGATATTGCGTTCACAACGCGTTACTGTATTTTGTGAGGTCATCATGAACTTGAACTTTGATCTTTGACGACCAAAATCTAATCAGTTTATCCTTGAGTCCAAGTGAATGTTTACACCAAATTTGACGCAGTGCCCATCAAGGCATTTCTGAGATATTATGTTCACGAGAATGGGACGGATGGACAACCTGAAAACAATATGGCTGCTGCTCTGACTGTCACTGGGCGGTGGAATAGAATTGCCTTTCAGGGCTTCTGTATAATCAGGCCAATGCACAGGACTTATTTGATTCCAGTTACATAAAAAATCATGTGTCTAGACTTGGACGTGAGACACGAGAAAGTGTCTGGACTCCACCTTGTCTGCCAGTTTAGTGAAGTTCTGCTGCGCGTAGCGGACCACGTCTCCCACTCTGAAGATGGGGCAGTAGGTGTTGTTGATCATGTCAAAGTTACATTTTTGGATGTAATCACCAGTGATTGTCGGAAGGAAGTTCCCTCTGCGCACACACACACACACACACACACCATCATGTCGGCATGTGAGACTTCAGAATCATCGTCAACATCATTATGGTGTTTAAAATGATACTTGTCATACTTGGTGTAGTTGAAAGTTGGGAAGCGGATGCTGTTCTTGATGAAAATGGTGAAATTCTCCACTTCCATCATTGGTGTACTGAGAGAGAGAGGGAGGGAGGGAGAGAGAGTATAACTGCAGACATACAGAGTATTCTTTTTTTTTTGTCCCCAGAATCTCTAAAAAAAATCGGGCGATGTGCGTTTCAATGTAAAGTTCCATCTGATTGGAACACCTCAACACACTCACATCCATTACCTCCTCTCATGTCTGTAGAGCATCTCTCTTTGCTCATTCAAACTGCTTCTGCTTTTAGTTCCATGACTAGTGGCCTGGTCCTAGAATGTTTTGGTTGGGGGTGTTAAGAGATGTTGACTGGTCACTACCTGCCAGATTTAAAGACTTGTTACTGGGCTCCTCTATGAGTGTTCATTAGGACTGTAAAATATAACATGCACTGTTTTATGTTATTTAAAACTAAAGTCATAGAATCTAATAATACATGAGCCCATAATGTATTAAATTTAAACCTACCTCAACCCCCTTCATAGGAGGACAACTTTATATCTAAATATGTATTCTTGTATGGATTGGTTAATTAAAAAAAAGCTGTCTGCCATAATCCAGTTTACATTTCTAGTCTACTCATGTATTTTCTGTTTAAATGGGATGCTATAATGGAATTGGCAATATCAGTTTTGAATTTTAAAACTGTGGGTGCACTGCTTGTGTCACACCGTGGTGATGTTGTCTTGTCCTGGGTTTGTTTTGTCCTGTCATTTCCTGTTTTATTTTGAAAAGTAACTCTCCTCTTGTTTCAGGTCACTTGCCCTTCCTCATGTGTCTCAGTCTGATTGCCCTAAGTGTTTCCACCTGTGCCCTATTTCCCTCCATGTGTTTAAATAGTCTGTGTTCCCCTTGTCTTGTGCCAGATTGTCTTCGTCCTTGACCTGCACCTGAGCCTTTGTCCATGCCCACAGCCATAGTGTCCTTCAAAGTAAGCCTTTTGTTCCTCGTGAAGAGTGAGTTTTTGTTTGTGATTTCTTGCCTTAGCTCATGTTCATAGTCCTTTGCTTTTCCTTGTGAAGAGTGATTTTTTTTGTTTGTAATTTCTTGCCTTAGCTAATATTTATAGCTCTTTGTTTTTCCTCATTATGAGTGATTTTTATTTTGTGTAAGTTATTATTTATTATCCTAGATCCTCCGCTTGTTGGCGTGAGTAGATTATTTTGGTTTATTTTTTTATTTAGTTAGGTTTTTCCTCCTTACGGAGCGTTTTGAGTTTACCTTTTTTGTTTCTTTTGATTAGAATCTTTTTCCTCCTCCTGGAGTGTTTTTGTTTTCTCAGGTTTCAGAGTTTAGTGACTAGTCTTTTTCATAGCCATTTGTTTTTCACTCTGTCTGAGGTCTCTGGTGATTTCAATAAATCCCATTGTTTACTTATTCTCTGTGTCTGAGTCCTGCCTTGAGTCCCTGCTTGACAGCTTGTGCAACTGGGTTGGGGATCACAATTGAAGTGATAGTCATTGCTCTCCTCACTGTATCAAGTTCTTGTAGGGCCAGACCAACCAATCAGATATCAAACTTTGATTTTATGTTGAATGTGGCATTTTTATGATTGGTCAAATCGACAAGGACAAAATAAAATACTTTTCAGTTATTTTTTTGAATTTTGGGATGAAGCAGGACTTTTTGGTGGGGCAGTCAGAACATTTATTTTTCCTGGTAGGATGGGAAGGGTCAGCAGGTGTGGGAGAGGTTGGGCCTCTGAGAGCTTGTGTCTGTTTGTGTGAGTTTAATTGAGCTTTAATCATGAGCTTTTATCAGCAGCTCAGGTCAGTGTTCTTCATTATAACAGTACAGAACTGTGACGGTGGAGAGAAGCTCTGTCACATGCACAGCATCGCCTTACGTCTTGATGGTATCTATCTCCGCAGGACACCATCCTTTTATCTGACACATCTTGACGGTGGCATTGAAAGGAACACACTTCCCTGTGAGAATACCTGAGGAGGAAAAGAAAAGCTTTCAAACAAACGGAAACAGACAAACAATTCATCAAACACAGTGAGGCAGAAATGAGAGGAGGAGAAGAGACAGACAGAAGGTCTCACCGTAACTCCCTGGTTTATTGAGGTGTCTGGTGCAGTCGGTGTCCTGGGTACAGGAATACTTCTTCTCACTCTAGGTAACATCCAATTACACACACACACACACACACACACACACACACACACACAATAGATCCAATAATGTATGATGGGGAAAGGGGTGTAATAGAGAAATCATATTATGCACTTTGTATAACCTGGTTTGAACTTTGTATGACCTGGCTTTGTATAAACTAAGGAGTAGTTTGGCCTTGAACATCCAGCTGCTTCTTCTTGGCACTTAGACAGTCAGGATGGCCCCCAGAATTGTTCACACACACCTTACCCCCTTTCTTTCTTTTCTCAGTAAAGTTCATGTACACTTTTTGTTCAATATTAGTCTGCAGTTGCACTCTGTTGTGACTGTATGCTGATCCTTTGCAAAGCTCTTATTAAAATACACAAAGACAACTTGATCATTTTGTCAACTTTCCATCACAGGGGACAGAAATTGCAGTTCTCTTCCTCATCTTTGGATATATACATGCAGAGGTCCAGTCTCTCCTTCAGGGATGTTTCCAGCTCAGTGAATAAAATCACTGTACCAATGTTTAAATTATGGAGGGGCTCAAAACAATACAAAAAAAAACTGCATGCTGCAATGAATGACATGAATAAATCCTAAATCTAATTACTGGTTGTTGTAAATGTGTGTGTGGCTCCGCCCTGGTCAGTCTGCTCAGTGCAGCTAACTTTATCTGACTTTATCCAATAATGCGTGAAACGTGATATTTGTGTATCATGGCTCGTCCGCTGCCTTCATGTGTTGTCTTCTTAATGCGTAGAGCAGCCGAGGAAACCTTGGCAGCAGTTTAGCCAGTGAAGCAAGAGTACAGACTACCACAGACAGAGCTTATTGTTTAACACTGAGCTCCTGCAGATTGTTGGCAGGTGCGACTAAACGGTACAAAAACAGTTTTGGTCTCTATAGCTAATTTCCTCCTTCATTACAACGGTTTATACAACTCACCTGTTTACATTTTATTTAGGACTAAAGTTATGGAGAATTGGGGTATGGCCTCTTTGAGTGACAGGCAGGTCAACATATGCTTGTCACAAACCGGCCAAAGTCTCAGCTCTACCCACCCCTTTCTCTTTGCTTGTTTTTGGATTAGCTAGGAGTTAGGGGGCAGAGTCAGACACTGCCATGATGGTTGATGGTGCAGCAGTTCACTCTGAGCTTCAGAAACCTGTGGGTGACATCACGAAGGCTACATCCATCTTTATCTACAGTCTACGGGTACAACCCGCTGTTTTCTGTCTCATACTCTGCATGGTAGCATATCATCCGATTCATTCTCAGACGGGTCATTTTTGTTGATGCTATAGATAGATTACTATGTTGTCCTGTAAATTTGGTTCATAAAGGAACATCATATACCTTTTACAACAATATGTGAGCTGTGACATATTCACACCTTAGAACTTTGAGTTCATATGACACAGTTTGTAATGCAGGAAACAAATCTATTCTTTATCAATTATGAAGACTCATATCTATATGCCTGAATCAGAGACAGTTGTGAGAGTAAGGGCAGAGTGGCAGCATTATTAGGAAACATAGTGACTGTGAAGAGGCAGGTAGAAAGGCTGCAAAGCTAAAATTAGAGGCAGTCAATGGAAAGATGCAGCAGATGAAGATTCATCTAGCTAATCTTAGCTACCTTAGCTTGTACACAACTTGTAATGCCAGTAGAAGTATTAGTAATGGTGAGGCCGTAACAATGGCGGTAGTACTGCAGTAATGGCAGTAACAGTAGCTGACCTCGGGGCAGTATCCTTGGACCTGGTTGTCTGTGGTGATCAGTTTGGTGATGATGCAGAAGACTGAAGCTCCCTGTAAAAAACACATATATAGCACATCAATCAATCAATCAATCAATCAATCAATCAATCAATCAATCTATCCATCCATACCTGTGTAGGAGTAACGTAGTCTGCAACATCCATCACCTTGTCATTGTAAATTCCAAAACCTTTGACCTTGGTCATCACCGAGGATTCAATAGCTGTGTCTCTCACTTGGTAGGCCTTCTCATAGACAAAGACCCACCTGAAGCAAACACACACACACACACACACACAAACACACACACACACACACAGAGTTCCTGTGTATATTTCCGGACGTCATTCTGCAGGGAGCCTAGTTCTCTGCATACAGCTACAATGCTAAAAAAACATCTGAAATATCCCTTTAGTTCTCCAGTGTAAATCAGAGTAGGTACCTAATAAAAACAAAGACAAATCACTGCAGCTGCAGCAAATGGGTTTTTATCTAGAAAGTAACACAAGAAAATATAATAAAAGCACAAGTGGAAGGTATCCATCATTTAATGCTTTCTTTCTTTCTTTATTTGTGTGTATGTGTTTGTGTAATGATGCTATTACACTTCAACTCTACCAATATCAGAGAACAGCTTAAAAATGTCAAATTGTTCATCGTTACAGTATCGAAAAAAAAAAAAAAAAAAAAGATTAATTATTATAAAAAAATAGAGTAAGACATTCAAAAGCTTATCTGACCAATAGCAAGACACTTAATTTTGTTGTACACTGTTCAATGACAATTAAAGGCATTGAATTGAATTGAATTAAACTGAATTGAAGTTACACACCTTTACATATCTACAGAACAGAAGGAAATGAATCAGTCTGACCATCAGCTTAGGTAAACGAATCCTAACTTAAATGCATTTCTGAGTTAGAGTAACCCAAACCTCCATAATACACTACTTATTATAATTTTGATGATTAACTAGAAATACTAGTTACTACAAACAAACCTAAATTATCTTAAACTACAAAAAAAAACCTCATAAGATGCTACCATAATTACACTAATAACTACAAAATTCCTGAAGAAATTTTGAATGTGCCTGCTGCTTGGTGTGCATCCATCACACACGTTTCAATCTCTACAGAGGATGTTACTTTTAGTTTTATTCATGTTGTAGAGAATTATAATATCTCTGACCTCAGTCACTGCAGGTATCCCTCAAAAAGCTCTTTCGCCAGTCCTCACATTTTCAAAGTGACCTCACAATGATCATTTTGTACCTCAATTTGTCCCCACAACCATAGCAAGACATGTATACACACATGTACATGCCCTAACAAAAGTTGATCCACAGTAAAGCTACTGTGATGTCTCCTGCTAGAGCAGAACAACATGTACAATAGCAAAAAATGCCCTAAGTTAATCAGTCTAATTAGCCAATCACAGTCAGTTGTGTGAAAGTTTGGGCAGCAACTGCACTTCGTTCAATGTGTGTGTATTTATTGTTGTGTGTGGCAGTAGAGCTGTCTACCATAGAGCCTCCAAGAAGCTTGTGTTACCACATTGAGACACTTATATAGTAAATATCCAAAGGTGGAGATGGTTTGTGTGTCTGTCAATGTACATGTATGTGTTAGAAACTGCCTAAGCTTGACCTTCGAAAAGCCCTTTGAAGTTTTCAGGACCAGCCAAAATGACCTCACAATAATGTTTTTAACTAAATTTGACTTAGAGTGAAGGGATTTGAATTGACTGTTCTGGTTCGTTTCAGCCAGTCGCTCAGTTTACAACAGTCTGCCACGTTTTAAGATTCATGGTAAAGCAAGATAATCAGTTACATACAGCTTTCGTTGTAGCGTTTCCCAACAGTTCGTTATTAGCTTAACCAGCGCAATGTTGTGTAAAAGACACCGGGAGTCGGGGAGGAAACGGATGAAAATATCTCTTTTCTGTTTGTTGTTTGTTTGACAGGTGATCGGATAAGGTTCGTATTGGCCTTTTACGTTTTATTGCAATCACAGTAAAGTTCAGTGATAGTTGTCGTCAACTCAAGTAATTTTCAGTTCTCTTTACTTCACCTGGTTTTGTGCCCGGCGCAGCCCCTGCCGTACGGTTATAGTGTGTGTGTGTTTGTGTGTATCTGCAGCCCCGCCTCTCCCGGAGACCAGAGAGCAATGTGAGCATAAAAGACAAATAGAGAATAAATATATGGCGCTCAATAGTGACTTGCCGCCAATCAATCAATGTATGTATGAGAAACGATTCGTAGACGCAAAATATAGACGTCGATTATAGCGACTAATTGCGGCAGTCCTACAAACAACCACAAATCAACACACACACGTTTACACAAATACACTGTTTATTTACCTTAGAGTTGCTCTCATACCTGACTTAAAAGGCTAAGAGTTAATGAGTCTAATCAGTCAACCAGTTAGAGTGCACGTGATGTCATGCACTCTAGCTCTGAGTATTCCGTGCAATACACACCCATTATAAAATCTGAAACGGTCTAAAAATGACACAACACGTAAACTGCGTCAAAATACCTATTTAACCCAAAAGACTCTCAAGTCTTTAACGTTTCAACCATTTTTCTACTTTGAAGTATGACGCAGCAGTAGAGCTCTAGAGGGCTGGGTTTGGTCGTTTTCAAGACTTCTCCCCATTTATTCTCTGTAGGAATTTTTTTTATTGCCATATGGATGGGGGGATGGATGGATGGATAGATACTTTATTTATCCCCTAGGGGAAATTCATGTGTCCATTAGCTCATTGTTGATAATAATAAAAACAGTTACTTATTTACGTCACCATGGTTACTATTGTTTTGGTTTTCTCAAAGCTGCCGGACTAGTTACGTGCCGAAATTTCGATACGGAAGATAAATAAGTCGAATAAGTATGCAGGACAGTAATATATGCCTTTAGCGCTATTGCATTGCAGGCACATAATAAAATACTTGACAGTAATACAAATGATGATATAATAGGGAGGTGTATTGTCTGTGTCTTAATTTTTAACTTGTGCTATCATGTAGCCTATTAGTAGTTAATTGTCAATTAATCAATATAGTAGTCAATGCCAGTTTATTGTATGAAATATAAATGTCTAAACATTTCATGTATAAACATATACAAACGTATAAACATTTCTGTAACTGACAGCTGCTGTTCTTTAATTCAACCACACCATCCCACAAATAAACCAAGGTGAAGGGAAATACTCACCCAATAAAGTAAGTGATGATGAGGAGTTGGACAACTCGGTTGATGATGCCGATGGTCCAGCTCTTCACCACCACCGACTTGGTGGTTTCATAGGTGAAGAAGTCCGTTATACAAGACCACATCCTAGCAGTGTCAGTAAATACCAAAGATCCGGTGTTTGTCTATTTTCTGTATCTGATATGACTAATAGAAATTTGAAGAAAATTACAACTACAGATTCATGTCCCGGGATCTAGTTGACATCTTCAGTTATTAACTTGTGAAGAAAACACAGTGAGAGCAGTATCCTGATTCCAGGACTTGTATGTCTCCTTTTTCATGGAGAAAACAGAGAAATGCCCATCGCCTGATCTTCAGCTGATGCTCTCTTCCTGTAACTTCAGACTTAATACATATTAACTAGTTAACACGTTAACAGCTCTCTCTCTCTCTGTCTTTGTCCTTAGCTCTCTTCACCCATTCTGCCACTCTCTTCTTTCCTCTCTCTCTCTTGCTCTCTCTCTCTCCCTATCTTTCTCTCTCTCTCTCATTTATCTCTGACTCTCTGGTTCCCCCTCCTCCCCTGAAATTACTCCTCACAGTCCCCCTCCCTCCCTCTACTCGGTGCACAATGGATGTTCAGGGTAAAGTTTTCTCTATCTACAGTTATGGCACAAAAACAACAGCAAGTGTATTATAATAAGAGTAGTCCCTACACTCAGAGAAACGGGTATGGTACAAGATCATTGGTGACAGCAAAGGGTACATAACTGTACTTTTAACAAGATGAAGGTTCAGGCAGATGATGCTGCAAATCAGGGATCACAAAATCTTGATTTAAATAGAGAGTTGTTTGTTGTAATAAAATATTACAATTTTAATTTTATCAGCTTCAGTAACAACACAGCTGAGTGTGTGTTTTAGTGATTTCCTCTAGTCTTTACATTGTTCTAATGGTTTTAATAATGTTGTAGGGTCATGAGGTAGGCTCACAAAGCCACTGTTAAAACACTGAATGAACTGAATGTAATAGAGTATCCGAGTCATGAATTTGTGTTTTGTAAATGTACTTTTACTGAACTTTGTTCCTGTTTTGTGTCTGAAACCAAAATGAAATTTCTCTTGGTTGTAATCAGTGATAAGAGAATGGCTCCTCAGGTCTAATGCTTCAACTTAATGTTGAATAGCTGCTTTTTCTCATGTACTGGAACAAATCAGTTCTATCAGAACAATACATTGAAACACACTGAAAATGGATCAGTTTACATATAGAAAATTGATTTTGTTAAAGATGTAAACTAATTGTTGTTTTTTAAATACATTTTGGTCAATACCTGTAAATGTTTTTGCCTCATAAAGGTACAAAATGACATGTCGCTCCAACTGTACCTTATAAGGTACCAATACTACATGGGTTTAGTCCTAACTGCAGTGGCCACAGGTTCAAGTCTGACCCTTGGCCCTTTACCCCAGTTCAAGGTTCTTCATATGTCATGTGCACAGAGATACTAAGTGAAATGAAGGGGATCCTCAGCTCAGCTACTGTGCTAAAATATAATAAGATAAAAGGAGTAAAATAAATAAAAATTACTTGTGCAATATAAATACAATTTTAAGAGCAACATATACAAACAATACAAACAACACTATACATGTAGCAGATTTGTTACAATTTTACAGTAAAAGTGACCTGGTGTGCCACTGAAGTGACAGTGCAGAACAAACAGACAATATATGCAGTATTTGAAAGTGTTCAAACATGTGTGGAACTTTGCTGAGGTGAAGCGTGTGTGTGGCCTGAGGATAGAAACTCCTCTTCAGTCTTTTGGTTTTGGCCATATGACTGCAGAGGTGTCCTGTAGGGTGGGAAGGGGTATTCTAGTGGTGCATTCAGCTGAACGTACCACCCTCTGCAAAGCGCTGTGGTCACAGGCAGAGCAGTTCCTGTACCAGGCGATGATACTGCCTGTCAGGACACTCTCCACAGCCGAGGAGTAGAAGGTCTTCAGGATGGAGGGTGAGACGTTAAATTTCCACAGTTGTCGGAGGAAGTAGAGCCTCTCTCTTGATTTTTTTAGTATGTGATGGGGTCCAGGTGAGGTCCTCAGCAATCAGCCTGTGCATATTCTCATTTGTCCAGGTCATGGTATCCAGGCTGGGACTGGTCCAGACCAGACCAGACAAATAATCAAGTCCAGTTGCGTTTTGATTTAAAACTCCTTTAGGGTCCTCAGCAATGTGTACTCTGAAGTATTTAAATCTGGAGGCCCTCTCTACTGGTTATCCGTTGATCTTTAATGGGGTGTATCTGCTGACCTGCTGTCTCCTAAAGTCCACCACCATTTCTTAAGATTAGCTGACGTTCAGGGTCAGGTTTTTGGACTGGCACCACTGTGCTAGGTCATCTACCTGGTACAAGTCGGCATGTTCAGTGTTGTTGGTGATCAGGCCTACCACCACTGTGTCGTCAAATTTGGTGATGGAGGTGGAGCTATTGGTGGCCTTGCAGTTGAGGGTGTAGATGTTGTACAGCAGGGGGCTCAAGACTCAGCCCTGAGGAGAACCTGTGCTGAGGGTTACTGAGCTGTAGGTCAGTCCACACACCTGAACCACCTGAGGCCAACTGGTGAGGAAAATGTGGACCCAACTGCACAGTGTCGTGTTCAGTCCTGGTTCAGGCCAGGGTGAGGGGGACTATAGTGTTGAATGCTGGACTACAGTCAATGAGCAGCATTCTCGCATAGTTTTACCTCCCCCCCAACCAGGGGGGTTAGGGGGATGTGCAGAAGGGTTGGAGATGGTGTCATCTCTGCACCTGTTGGCTCTGTAGGCTAACTGGAGGGGGTCGAATGAGCTGGGCAGGGATGAGCAGATGAAGTCCTTCACCAGCCTCTCGAAGCACTTCAACACCACTGATGTCAGGGCCACCGGGCAATAGTCATTTAGGCATGAGGGGCTGTTTTTCAGCACAGGGACGCATGAAGGAACAATGGTTTGGGCCAAGGATGTGTTGAAGATGTTCATAAACTTAGGGGCTAGCTGGTTAGCACAGGATCTCAGGACCTGGCCAGAGATGCCGTCGTGTCCAGCCACTTTCCTGCTTTTTGCCCTCCTCAGGACCTTCCTTATGTCGCTCTGTGTGACAGAGAATGGGGGTTCCGCGCTGACGGCAACATTCTCAGCAGCTATTATGGCCAGGCTGCATGTCTCTCCCTGACTTTCCTGTCTCTCTCTCACTGCACCTATCAATAAAGGTAAAAATGCCAAAAAATAGCTTAAAAAAAGGTACCAATTCTGTACCTTTCCAGTGGGTATATTTTTGTACTAGGACATAGAGGTACATTTTTGTCACTAGGGGAACAGAAAAGTTCTTTTAGAGGTCCCGATAAGAAGGTACAAAAATATACCAATGTTCAAAGGTACAGTGCTGAACCCTGCTAGGGTACAGCTGGAGCCACAAAGCCTTTGTACCTTTTTAGGTCCATATTTGTGCTTTCATTTCTTAGTGTATAAGGTGACACCAAACATATTCCAGTCAAAGCAGTGTTACAATCTATATTCTGCTTTCAGAGGTTTTAACACGGAAATTTTCTTTCTATGTAATTCATTATTTCATAAAGTATGTGTAACTACTGGGAATAAGAATGATCTTCAAATGCGTTTACCCTCCAGTCAAAGGTGCAGTAGATGATTCTGGAGAAATATGGGGTTGGTTCATTCAGGCCTCTGTGATGTCAACCACAGGTTTCTGAAGAGAGTGCTGCGCCGCCACCCCCATCTTGGCAGTGCCTGACTCCGCCCCTGATTCCCGGCTAATCCATAATCTGTGTGGAGCCGAGACTTTGGTGCATACCGGGTTAATGTGGCAAACATATGCTCCTGTTAGCATCATTAGCACAAATGGGCGTCTTGCTCAAAGTTTAACTCAATGATAATTCTTTTTCTGGCTAATTCACGAGCTAAGCAACAAGACCAAGGTATGGTGAGCCCAGACACTGATACCTGGTAATTTTTGCTAACATATATAAAATAATACTACAATTTCACTCACCTCAAAAACACAGAAGCACAGACTTCCTCGTGTTCTGTTAGTTAATTTACCAACAACAAGTTAAATTAAAGTTGCAAGCAGCATTGAGTGGGCCCTCACAATGTTGCGCATCTCGGGAGGGCTTGCAGCACGCGATTTGAAGCGGTCGCACATTGTAATGACTGCCGGACACTGCACTCATAGGGTAAGATTTATCGCACAGACTGTGTGGCAGCAGAAAAGATTTAAAGCATTTTTATATGCATTTAGATCAGGTCTGCGACATTGAGCCAAAGACCATGCAATAAGCACATATGTGGCAGTTTGTAAGATGATCATATATCAAAATTGAATGTACTCCAGAGTCCACAAAGTTCAACAGAAACGTAGAATTTGAACAGGGAAGCGTCATTAGGTGTAAAGCATACTCTGACCACCCACTCAATATGAGCATGTAGATGTGTTCAGGGTGGGTCTCTTGTCAAACCTATAAGGCATGGGGCAGTTTGGAACATCTATGCTTGAGTTAGAGCGAGTTGAAATTTCATGGCGAAGGATCGAATTTTGCCGTGCTGCTACGGGCAGGCTGTTCCACGAAAAGTCACAGTTTTGACTGCAGTGCATAATCAAGTTGTTAAGCATTTACTAACCATGTTTGGGTCAAGATTCGATCAAGCTGCTATGAGCAGTATATCAAAGTGTAAAACATGACACTTCTTGTTTCCACAAGGGGGTGCTATGAGTATCACTGAATATGAGCATATGCCTATGTTCAAGGCGGGACTCCTATGACACAGAACATTTTGGGCAGTTTGCACAATGTGTGTTGGAATGAGAGCAAGTTGAATTTTCATGGTGAAGGATTGAAATTCACCATGACACCACACTGAAAAACATTGAAAAAACCCTGTGAAAAAAACTTGGGAATTTCACATCACAAAGGTCTTAAGATGGTGTGAACGCAATTTGGGGTTGATCTGATTAAAACTCTAGGAGGTCGTTAGAGTACGACAGCTGAAAATGGCAACAAAATTAACCAAAAGTGCACACTATATTCAAAATAGCGGTCTTCCGGTTGAATTTAGCTTATGGATCCAAGAGGCTTTTTCGTAG